CCACTCCCAACATTACGCCAATTTCGTCAAAAGGAGGATGGTCGTCGGAGCACCACTATTTACCTACCTATAACCCCAGCAAAAAAATAACACGCGACTCGAACAATTCCGGAAGGATAAACAGCTCAGTTATTTTCACATCACAATAAGAGTGGTTCCTCTTATGCAAGAAACTATAAATACCCACTTCTCTTAGTATTCAACCGAGGTAACAGAGCAAGGGTTAACGATAGACAGTTGAAGAAGAATAAGGGTGCGTAATAAGCGATCTGAAGGAATAGGGATTACGTAAAAGTCCTAACAAAATGTCTAATAAATCACAGTGTACGTCAGCCCATTGCGTACACCAATTTTGAATCAATGTAAAACAAAGGAAAAAACAAACCTTAGCCTTTTCTCCGTTCGAACGCATACGCGCGGCATAGAGAAGATAGACGTAAAGTCCTGGATTAATACCAAAGGTGGATCGACCAGCCATCAGAAGATCGCCCCACCTGCAGAGATCGCGCAAGTTGAACTCCCATGGAGTGTCTACTAGGGCCGTGAAGCCATCGCCGCATCTCACGGCTTTCTGCAGCTAAACGGAGGAGCAAAACGAGATAAACTCGAATAAAGGCGTTGTTTTTATAAGAGTAGTCAAAAAACGAGGAGCGAGAAGAGCTACTGTCCAGCCAGAGTAAATTCAGGCAACAAACCTACTAATTTTGCAGAGGTGGTGAGCCTTAGCAGATACCCTTTTGCCAGAGTTAGTCCCAAATTCAAAAGTCCCAATAGTCTGAGTCAATTAACAGTTCAAAAGCAGGGATCATGCACAAGTGCTGAAAAGTATAGCGGTCGCTATAGAATGAGCTATAATGGTGGCGTTTCATTCGCTAAAATGTGTGTAGGAAAAAAATATGCATACGTCATTAAGGAACTTCCGCAGTTACTTCTTGCACTTGAAAGGCGAATTACTAGGAGACGGAGTTAACGATTCAGACGATAGAGAATTCCAAATGCACCAATTCATAATCGCCATGCGTTTCTCCACCAGCCCTCACCAATCAGGGCTCTAAAACGTAGGCATCCGCTGCTCACCTTGATTATTCACAGACCTGAGTAAATTGAGATGCCCGTGTTGAAGTTCCTGACTACTTGGATGGGTTGTGACCTTGATAAGAGCCAGGTCAATGCATATTATCGCAGATTCACAGCAAAATACTTGGCTTTCAGCGGTTGCGCAGGTTGTTAATCGACTCGCTGACTACGTTCTACTCGTAAATTGTCTTGTAAGGTGTCAGATATGTGCTTTTAGGAGGAGTCAAGTAAGTATGTCCCAGCAAGTGCCAACTTAAATTCAGATGATAGCACCCTTAGACCTAAGTAAAGTGGAACAAGTTTTAATTGTTAAACGCAGGCCAGGCGAAGTATGTTCCTTAACCATCAATAATGTCTGGAGAAAAAAAATTGGAAACCGAGTTGTCCGAAGCCGAACGAAAGTAGTTTTATACAAGTTGAAAAGGAGAAAGAAGCAAAAACTCACGATAGAGTTAAACTGAACCATGGCCTCAATACTTGAGAGAGGAATATCGGTGAATATGGCCGTTAACACGCCGATTTGATCAGCAGGAGTCAGAGGTTTGAGGCGAACCTGAAGACGAAGACCTATGAATTATGCTCATTAATGCCAGATTTATTAAGCGCAATTAGAAGTCCAATGAATTCATAAATTAGCCACCGATCGAATTTTACCCGAAAACAAGACTGACTCCAAATAAGGTTCCACTGTGCTGCCTAATGGATACAAATCTAAACAGGCACAAAAATCTCGTGAAAACGGTTCTCGTATTATCCGAGACTTAAAAAATATGAATTTCAAAGGAATAAGAATTCAGGGCAATCATTAGATCCGGAAAAATAAGGAAAAAAGCAGAAGCCAACAATCAGGCAGGAACAATAGAGTATGTCGCATACCTGAGTGAATCGATTAAGGAAAGACTTGGGCAAGTGCTTTCGGCCTCCACCCTCTTCGACAGGGTTCTGACAGGCGAAGAGACGCGTAATCTGTGGCTTTACGTGGAAGGTGGTGCCCAACTCAGGGATGTATATAGCCCCTCTGTGGTCCAGGCAGGCATTCAAACATTCTAACACAGACTGTGAAGCCAGATTCATCTATGCCAAAAAAGTACTTATCATTCTTCCCTTGTAGCTACCCTATTGATTGCAAAGAATCGTATGGACTTTCACTCTATTCGGGTAGTGGCAAGCAATAATCTTGCGTAATATCACAACAATTGAGGCTTTCTACCTTTACTTTTAAAAGAAGGTATGTAACAATGTCAAGAAGAGGGGAGGGGAATAAAAGGGATCTTAATGCTATGACGACTTTGAGTGAGGAAAAAATGAACATTAAGGCGAATTGTGGTACTGAGGAACAACACAAGCGATACTGCTCTCAGTAATGCAAATGCCACAAACTACGGTAAGTAGGCAAATGAACGCTAAGAGACAATTCAAAATCATACCAAATTATTGGTCATACTCAGACTTCCATATAGCATTCGAACCATTAAAAGGCCTTTACAGAGAAGTTTGTATGACCCCCAATTACTTTACGATTTAACAAGAGGACATTAGTCAGCCATACTTGAGCTAGCATCCTCAGTGAATGGGAGGTGGAGGTTCTTACATCTATGGGTCAGCTGTACAGGAAGCCGTAAGTGCAATCGTTGAAACTGAATTAAATCGAGCGAGATAGGATATAACCGCGGTGCAAGCATACCTCATCGAGAAGGATCCAATACCCATGTCGAAGGGCTTGGAGCAGGGGCCCATCGCGCCATGCAAAAGTTCCACAGCTGGAGCCTTCAACGGGTAGATCGCAACCAATGAGATCGGTGACCTCCTGACAAAGTAGATGAAAACAGTTCGTTTCAACCAACTATCGTGAGTAGCTTACCATGATCTTGACTAGACGTGTGAATGTCTTTTAAGCTGAAAATGTCTACTTAATCAATGGGGTAGAAACTTTCTCAGCAAAACAATGCCATGTTTGAAGGAGAAAATCTTTAAAATTTATGTGAAGCTACCACATTATATCCAGTGGTGTGCGCTTTCTTAGTAAACGGATAAAACGAATTTGCCAAAGCTGTCAAGAACTTCTAGAATCAATTACAAAAGCGTCACATGTACTTTGCTGCCTCCTTGCCTATATTACAGAACTTAAATGATTAACTTAAGGAGTACATAGATAGATGATGATAGAAATAAGCATAGACGAAGAAAACTGATGAGAATGGAATGAAAAAACAGGCTTGAATTAGATCGAGCGGCAGGGAAAGAGCTCGGAGAAGTGACTCACAGTTGCCTCAGAGAGGTTGATGCGAATGATACGGTGACCAGATGCGCGTGCAAGGGCGGCGACGAGGCTGGTCTTCCCCACACCCGGACTTCCTTCTAGCAGAAGGGCACGGCGTGGCAGCTGTAATGCGCGCAAAAGACGACAGAAATTAGAAGCTGGAGTAGTGGCACTCAAACTGAATGTCGCTGGCGTCCGAGTGTTGTCCAGTTGAAATGATGACAATTCCGGACCTATGGCAAGAGGTGATGGAAAAAATGATAAAAGACAGGTTCACGTAAGGAGGATGGGGAAACAGAGTGCCCATCAAAAGAAAAGATAAACCTGGGGCAAAACAAAAGAAGCGCTGCAAAACAAGATTAATTTCCCCTACTCAAGAGAAGAATGCAGAAGCACCAACAATCGAAGAGAAACAAGTCCGTTGGGGTAAATTAGACGAGGACTGAGGTGGAAACCAAATAAATTGTGTGAGACGGCAGACATTCACCAAAAGCCAA